TCGGCTCGGAAAAACTAAATGTCACTCTCCGCTCCGCCACGCTGTTCTGGCTTTTGTTCCCGGGCCAATTAGGAATTGTTAAGAAGGAAACTACGGCACGATTCAGCCGGAGCTGGAGGCAATTTTGCCTCCGGCTCCTTTCACTGCTCACCTCTCTCCGGAGCCTTTTCCAAAAGCCTCGGAGGTGTTTCCTCAAACCTGCGGACCAGAGATGTTCAGTAACGAGGTAGAACTACTTAAGAACTGTAATAAAGTACCAAAATGCAGTATCTGTACTAGGGTTGTCACGATACTAAAATTTTCAACTCGATACCGATACTCAGGAAAATACTCGATACTCGATACCATTTTCGATACCACAAGGATAAAAACAAAGACCCCAAATTTAACTGAATTGTGTCTTTCATTTCAAACTGACCTGTTACTGATGTTATCGTGACTGGTGGCCCACATTAATGACCCTAATCCTAACCCTGACCCTATCCCTCCAGCCTTCATAATAGTGGGAAATAAATATATTTTGGTTAAACTTGTTTGGACTTATTGTAAAAACCAATTTAACATCCACTATTTTAACATAATATTATGGATAAAGTTTAATTCAGTGTTTGCTAGATTACTTTCACTATTTTTAAATTAATGTCTATATTGCCATGAAGCAATTAGGATTTTCTTGCCTGGGATCTTCCTATTGGTGATGTAATCAAAACGTCCGATTTGGATGTGGGCGGAGTTAGATATGTACTTGATTAAGGGTAGCATGTTGTTATTAGCCATTAGCTGCAGCTAGCAAGGCTAACGTCTTGTTAATGATCATAAACAACGTAAATAAATACATAAATAAATCAAACAGAAGGGGGTGGTATCGATACTTTTGAAAATGAGTATCGTATCCGGATACAACATTTGAGTATCGATACTTTTTCGAGTATCGATACTTTTGACAACCCTAATCTGTACTTTATTGGACTATATATTTTTTCCCTACTCTTACTCCACTACATATTTTTGATTAATTTAATACTTTTCAGAGATGCATGAAGCTAACATTAGCTAAAGCTAACCTAGCTGGCTAGCTGTGTGCTACATGCTAACATAAAGGCTCAGCTCAGGATTCTGACTCTGACTCTCTAATAAATAATAGTAGATGAAGTGCTGTTATTGCTAATGCAGATGTAGTTTTCTGTTTTTTGTAAACACCTGTATGGCCTTTCACACGTTAGAAACAATATAAACAATATCTATCAAACTTTTGACTGCCTTTTCTTAATATACACAGTACTTGTACTTTTACTTACACTTGTACTTTCGATACTTGAGTAGCAATTTTTTAAAATACTTCTACTAATAAAGAATTGGAGTATTTCTGTACTTCCACTTAGGTATGGTGTTGAAAGAACACTTCAACTTTGACTCAAGTTAAAAAATGTTATACAGTACTTGTACTTCTACTCCACTCCTCTACTCCAGTACTTCATACTTCTCTGAATTGGACTCCGGGAGAAGCTTTGACATTCTCCCTTAGGCGGCGAATCGATAGGAAAGCTGGTTTCTGTTCGCTACATGCCAGCAAACGGCATCTCTCCGCTCTGCCGGGGAACACGGGCCAACGTGGGCAAACAGACGAGGGGCCATTAACTCATAACGGAACGGGGGCCGGAATTCATCATACGCGGAGTTATAAATTCAATTTCGCGAATTGCCGGTCGATGCTCCCACTCGGGAACAATAGATGATATACAGCGCACTTGGCTCAATCCAATAAGGGCGGCCCACGGCGGTCCTGAGCCCACCTGCCCCGTAATCACATTACCTCTATCAAACACGAGCACAGAGGTTTGTGCACGGCGCTGAAAGGAGAAGTAACAGCTCTCCCCGTTAAGAGGCCGAACTCTACAGGAGTCCAGAGGAGTTTCGGACCTCTAGGCTCTCCGTTTGGTTTCACCAGAGATGTACAGTGGGGGAAATAAGTATTTGACCCCTTGCTGATTTTGCAGGTTTGCCCACTTACAAAGAATGCTTATTTTTCCTCATCAGATGGTTATCAATTTTTATTAAATCATATGAGGTGATTTTCTGGAATTTTCTTTGGGATTCTGTCTTTCACTGTTAGAATGTACATATGATTAAAGTTATAGATCGTTGCATTCTTTATAAGTGGGCAAACCTACTTACAAAGAATGCCTATTTTTCCTCATCAGATGGTTATCAATTTTTATAAATTCATATGATGCGATTTTCTGGAATTTTCTTTGTGATTCTGCCTTTCACTGTTAGAATGTACATATGATTAAAGTTATAGATCGTTGCATTCTTTATAAGTGGGCAAACCTACTTACAAAGAATGCCTATTTTTCCTCATCAGATGGTTATCAATTTTTATAAATTCATATGATGCGATTTTCTGGAATTTTCTTTGGGATTCTGCCTTTCACTGTTAGAATGTACATATGATTAAAGTTATAGATCGTTGCATTCTTTGTAAGTGGGCAAACCTGCAAAATCAGCAAGGGGTCAAATACTTATTTCCCCCACTGTATACAGTATTGGAGTAGAGGAGTGGAGTAGAAGTACAAGTGCTATATAAAGAAATTGGCTTGAGTAAAAGTTGAAATGTGGCTCCACACTGACGTCCAGGAGTCAGATTAACTCTCAAAGTGACCAGATAACCCTCGATGGATGACATTCTGAGGCCTCATTAGCTCTTACAGCATAGTGCTATATGCTAACAGCTAGCTTGAGCTTCTAAAGGATCGTTGGAGCTCCATCAGGCCCCTGAAGACCCCCAAAGAGCACCGATCAGGGCCATTTGGTCTGGTTTATATCAGAGGAAGTAGTTGTTTGGGTCAGACTTTAACAGTTTCAGCCTCTTTGGAGGGACAGACAACAGCCCAGATCATCATGCCTCCCCTGCCGTGCTTTGGTTTCTGTGAATCTGAGCAAGCGTCCCCACTTTTCTTTGCTCTTTCTTCCAGAAGTCTTTGCTCAGAACCTGAGCTCATTCAGACCTTTTCACTTGTAGCCTCTTAGATATTAATTTATTCATTAATCATTAATGAAAAGACTATCTTTTATGTCACGTATTGACGATCAGAGTTAATAAGAACGTGGAAACTCCCTTCAGAAGGACCAAGAATGGGTCTGAATTCAATCATCTGAGCCTAATTATTTTTATTTTTGATCAGGACTTCATAGCTGTGGTTAACGAGTCAAAAGAAAAATGGAAAATGAGCCAGTAATGGCCTTTTTCCTCAGAGCTCTTTGTGGACAGACGACTCTTTGTGGTCATTTGATACATATTGTTATGTTTGAGGGGAATAAAAACACATCAATTCATAATTGTAAGAATTATATAACATTTTCACTTATGGATAAATGACAGGGACTTTTAATAAAGTGTAAATATCTTTAAAGGATTTTAAAAAGGATTGTGAGCTTCCTGCTTTTGCTGGGATAAAACTAGACCTTTAGAGATGTCTTTATTTAGCTTTTAAGTGATGAGTTGGGGAGGAAAAAGGTTGATAAAGCTTATTTTCTTCTTTTAGAACCGGACGTTCAAACGTCCAGTCTGAAACGAGACGGTCAGCCAGCGTAAAGGAAAACAGAAACATTTCAAATGGCCCTTCTGTGCCTTCGGTTTTAACAGGAAACTCCTCCGATTGGTTGATTGTCTCCAGGTTTCTATGACACCGTGATGTTTTCAGGAGAGGGCTGAAGGCTCTCACAAAGAAAAGAAAGCCTGTAGAATATGAATTAATTCTGTTGAAGGAGCTCCTTTTATTTATTTATTTATTTATTTTCATGGGCAGGCAGCTGAGCTCGCGTTTTGTTTTTATTGTTCATCTCATTTCTTTCCATTTCAGTAATTAGGTTCATAAAGATTTGGCCTAAATGATTTGACTTGAACTCCAGCTGTAATGAAGAACTTCAAGGCTTTTGCTGGATGTCTCTTAATCCTGTAATGCCAAATGTATCATGTTTGATACATACTTTTTCTGAAATGTTTTGCGTCTGACACCTTTTGCATAATTTAATGGTAAAAACTTTGCTCAAAATCCTATTTTACTCAATCAGATACACCTGATAACAGGGGGCAGAAAACTACACAAAAAATAATCTTGACTTATCGCATAGTAATAAATTATTAATATTGAAAGATTATTTTTGTTTTTTCTTTTTACATATTTTGTTAAAAGGCCAAATAAGGAACTCAAAAAAAAAAAAAGGAATTTTCTGTTTTGTTTTATTTTTGGATCGGGGTTTAAAGGGTTAGAATAGAGATCTCCACCTAAAGTCTTCACCTTCTCTATCTCTTGTCTCTTTCTGTTAACTAGCGACATTCAAAATCAAGCCGGCCTGGAAAATATAACAGAAGTTGAACTCGCTTACTACCGAGAGCTGAAGAACCTGTAAGTACTGTTTTTACCTGCCAACACACACTCATCACTTGAAGCTGAACATTCATTTTGCTCATAAATTTGGTGTCTTGAGACGCGTCTTGGTTCATTTTCCTCCAAACCGCCAGGTTTTCTTTCATGTTGTTCATGTTTTTTGGTGTCAATTTTCATTCCACTTTTGCAGCGAACCATTTTCGGAGGTATAAATCTTTGTTAAGCCACTTCACTCTGAGCTGTGAACCATTTAAACATGACAAAAAGCCCCTAACTCAAGGGATGAGTCACACAGACACATCATTTGGTCCATTTCTGTATCTGATGGGGGGAAAAAGTCCAAAGAAAACTCAGTCTCACAGACAGGAAAAAGGATTTCTGAGGATTCCCAAAGAGCAAAAAAAAAATAAAAATACACCAAAATACGAAAACACAAGGCTAAATTGACCAAATATACACCAAAAAAGCAAAAACAAGAATTCAAATGACCAAAAATGCAACAAAAAAAGCAAAAAATTGAACTAAAAAGACCAGAACTAAAGCCCAAAGATACTTAAATGACCAAAACAGAGCCAAAGTCATGTATTTAACAGCAGATAAAATCTCCCAGAGTTCCCACAGTGGGTCAGAAACTGGATGAAGTGGACTGAACCCAGAAGCTCTGATGGAGGGACGGATCCTCACTCCTTTGAGTGTTTTAG